CTCTCTCTCTCTCTCTCTCTCTCTCTCTCTCTCTCTCTCTCTCCCCTCTCTCTCTCTCTCTCTCTTCATATTATTCTGTCAACCGTTATACGCCATGTAACCTTGACACGTCACGGAGAGCTAACACATCCGTAAGATGAAGAATGTGGGTGGAGTCGGCGAGGTGTGTGTGTGTGTGTGTGTGTGTGTGTGTGTGTGTGTGTGTGTGTGTGTGTGTGTGTGTGTTTGTGTGTCCTCGTGTGTGTCCTTGTGTGTGTGTGTGTGTGTTTGTCCTCGTGTGTGTGTGTGTTTGTCCTCGTGTGTGTGTGTGTTTTTGTCCTCGTGTGTGTGTGTGTGTGTGTGTGTGTGTGTGTGTGTGTTTGTGTGTCCTCGTGTGTGTCCTTGTGTGTGTGTGTGTGTGTGCATGCGCGTTTACGTGTGTGTTTTCGTTTTTTTTTAACCATTCATATAGCTTTTCATAATGTGTTTTTCATTTTCCCCCTCGTATGTACGGACACTTCCTCCAGTGGTGCATCAACGGCACTTGTCAGAGGTCCGATCTGGCGCCACAAACAGTTGGTAAGTTCTATAAGTTGTTAAAGTTCACAAAGCTGTCCCCGTCGTTTTATTCAAGAAACATTCTGAAATTATGCAAACTGAGCCCAAAAGTGTGAAATTATGCGATTCTGTTAATTTAACACAGAATGATAAAGGAAAATAATCAGAAATTATGCTAAAAATGATCAAATTTTGCTACATTATGCTGGGTGCATAAAAACCACGGGGACAGACAAAGTTCGCTGTTTTCACAGAGTTTATGAAATTCACCAGGATCATCCATCTTCTCTCTCTCTCTCTCTCTCTCTCTCTCTCTCTCTCTCTCTCTCTCTCTCTCTCTCTCTCTCTCTCTCTCTATCTTCGATTAGAACTAAGGCAGGTCTGCCAGAGCGAGCTACCAAAACTAACCAACCAAAATGTATTGCTTCATTTACTCCTGCTCTGTAAAATACTTGTACTTCTTATCGTAGTATTAAAGTATAGATAGATAGATAGATATATAGTGATAGGAGAGAGGGAGAGAGAGAGAGAGAGAGAGAGAGAGAGAGAGAGAGAGAGAGAGAGAGAGAGAGAGAGAGAGAGAGAGAGGGGGGGGTGCAGACAGACCTATATAAAAAGCCATCTACATAGGACCCACCCCCCCCCCCCAAAAAAAAAAAAAAAAATAATTTAATAATAATAAGTAAATAACTTTTTCAACAAAAATATTCCTTGGTCCTCCCCAACACCGTTCAGATGACGATTGTCCGTTCGGAGACGACCCGGGTCTGATCGGCGGCAGGACATGCGCAGAGAGGATGCTGACGTCACGGTTCGACTGCTACAGAGACGCGTTCAGAGCCAAGTGTTGTGCGTCCTGCAAGCGGTACAGGCGGAACCTTCCTGGTGAGAGGCTCAGATTGTGTGGTATCTTGGTGAAATCAGGCGCTCCTCAGAATAATAGAATCGAAGAAACCGACATTCATTTTCAAAGTCGGGCATCGATTTTGTTTCGTTGTTGCTATTGGGTTGGTTTTTTGCTTGTTTGTTTGTTTTGTTTTGTTTTGCTTTGTTTCTTGGGGGGGGGGGGGGGGGCAGCACCTTACTTTTAGGTCCATTTAAAAACACATTTAAGTGAAGGTTGTACTGAAAAATATTGTAAAATTGCAGTTTCCAAAGTCTCTCTAGCCTAGGAAGTGACCAAACTTTGACGGCCATTTACTTGCTAATTTTTCCCCTAACATGCGACCGCCGCCCACCTTCAATCGTAAATACTTGTGCTCAGGGTAGTTAGGTGCGCCTGAAATTTTCTCCGAGACAAGACAAAGTAGCAATAATTCCATATGATATCAATAGCTCCAGATGACATAAAATTAACGAGCTCCTGATCCAGCAGCAACGTGACTTAGATGGTTTCTGGTTTAGTTTTAGTTTTAGTTTTTTGCTTACTGAAAGGGGACCAAGAACAGGTAAAAGATCAAGATGAAGACCTGACAGATATTGTTGAAAAATGTCACCAGAGAGCGAACAGATACAGAATAGACACAGAAAACAGCTCATAAAACAGAGTGGAGGTCGTTGTTGGAGGGCTACGTCCTGCAGTGGGCGGGCAACGCCTAGAAAGAAAGAAAGGAAGACTTTTACGGTATTTGCAATACTAAATGCCGAATATGCATGGTTCCTACGTGAACAAAATTGTGTGGATGGAGACGTAAAAACAGCTACATTTAACCTTATCCTCCGTGGATTTCCTGAGATTCTTTAGTCTTTATTGTAGTGTTCTGTTCAACTTATGTAATTTTTATTTAAAAATGTTTTTAATGTTGTTATCGTCGTCGTAGTCGCTATTGTTGTTGTTATTGCAAGGAAACAGCAATCTCTCACTGCAGGCGTAACTAATCTTAGTGTAGTAAGGTGCGTTAAACATAAAGGCCTACAGTGTCGCATTTATTTTTATTTCTCACATTCTCTCTTTCTCCTCCGAGGCTGCGAGTACGGAGACCTGTTCGAACTGTGCAAGAAGGACCAGTGCACCAACTACGAGGAAGAATACGCCAGAGAGAACTGCTGCGACACATGTGCCGAGCTATTGTTTACCATACCAACCACCATAGCAACCACGCCTACCACTCCCGTCTACGTCACTTCCGCGTCACCCGTTGTGGAGACAACGGGGGAAGGAGAACGGGAAGTGACGCGGCCGGGTGGAGGGGAATCTGCGGGGAAGGGTGGGAGAAAGAGAGGAAAGTATGGGCGGGAGAACAGCGGAGAGGAGGAGGATGGAGAGAAGGAGGGGACTGCCCGAGGAAGTGGGAGAGGGTATAAGAGGAGAAACGGCAGACGGAGGTATAACAGAGGGAGCGAGGAGAGTCGGGATTCAGGTAAGAACACAATAAAAAAACAACAACAACAACAAAAGAGTAAATACCTGGATAAACAAAACCAAATAAAAAGAACTAAAGAAACATTTTATTATGATATTTTTGTTGCTTTTAAAAAATATTTTTCTTGTTATATATTTTGTTATTTCGTTTCTTTTTGCCTCCTTTTCTTTTTATTTTCCTTCTTTATTTCTTCGTTTTCCCTTTTTTTCTTTTTTTTCTTTTCCGTTTCCCTGTTTTGGTAAAAATACTACGCCCTCTTAATACGTATAGTATAATTCCATGTACAGCTATGAAAGCAGTCACCAGAAAAAGGGGGTCAAAAGATAGGGGGAGGGGTGGAGATCCAGATAAACGGACAGACAGACTTATTCGAATTTGTTTGTGAAGAGCTACTCGATTATTTTATCCACAGACGAGTACATACCTCGAAGCCAGTATCGCAGAAGGAACACTGTGCAGTATCGTGGACCACAAAGGGGAAGAGCCAGTCAGCGATACCAACAGAGAAATCACCGTAAGGATATGAAATAGACATTGTTAAATGTTAACTAGGGTCCTCTATTCTGTGCCCACTTAACGTAATACATCCATCCGGGGTTTCCACTTCACTTGGGGTCATAACTGGGTAGCCTGACGCCATGTAGGAGAGATACTTTTAAACTTATTTTAACTTTCTTAGTAAATTTAATTTTAGTTGAGGTTTTACGGCGCTCGCAACTACATAGGGTCATACGAGCGCCAGAAGATTAGAGGTGTTACAAGAGAGTAACGAACATAAAAAAGAAGAAGGGGAGATAAGGACAATAGATATTTGATAGGAAAGAAGAAGCAAACCATACCAAAGCACCCGACAACCACCCACTTTAACTCGCTGAAGACGCGCTGTTTCAAGACACTTTAAAAAAAGCGTAACTTCATTATTCATACAGATTTTTCAATTCTATTTTTGTTTGCAAAATCTGAAACTTTAAAGGCCCTCGAGAACATGTGTACAATCAAATGGGCAGATTCGTGCTTCTGGTTTGTGTGTGATGACCCAAAAAAACATGCCCAAACATTTTCTTTGATATGCTGCTGATAGGACGTACCATGTGTCCATTAAGTCCTCATACCTGTCACCGTCGTTTTATGCAAGAAAAATTCTAAAATTATGCAAACTGAGCCCAAAAATGTGAAATTATGCGATTCTGTACCTTTTTTTTTTATCAAAGAAGGAAAATAATCAGAAATTATGAAAAAAAGATCAAATTTTGTTAAAATGTGGGGGATGCATAAAATCACGGTGACAGTTAAACAGATCTTCACCAAGTAAACTTTGGCTCTCTCTATTATTGGGACGTAAAATATTTGATTTCGTAAGCACATTCAGGGTCTCAATTTTTCTTGTTTTAAGAATGTTGGGGGGGGGGGGGGGGACCGAAAGGGGGAACGGGAGGAGGGGGGGTGTAAAAATTTTACTGTTACCGATGTTTTGATCATGTGTAAAAAAACAGGAATTTAGAAATGAACAGTGTTTCCGAAAGAAATATTCCAACAACCGTATCAACAGCACCGTCAGGTGTTTCTTTTTCGGTCCCACTGTCACCACCAGCAACAATAATAACCGTAATAATAATAATAATAATAATAATAATAATAATAATAATAATTAAAACGGGCACATCAACAACAACAACAACACCAATCTGTCCATTGTGCAGCGAGGAGCCCCAAGATTTGGAGTACTGGCTGCAGAGATGCCCCGCTACGGAGGTCTAGCGGTGGTATCTCTTTGGGGAAGATTAAAGGAGGTTGGACTGTCTCACCCGCTGCCCAAGAGAGGCGGTGGGCCTGGCGAAGAGCACGCTCTTCGAGACTCCAAAAAAGTCGGAAGGATAGGCTCCCCCCCCCACACACACACAACAACAACAACAACAACAACAACAACAACACCTTCACCACAGCTTCCTCTGCCATTAGCATCATCACCACAACCAACAACAACAACAACACCTTCACCACAGCTTCCTCTGCCATTAGCATCATCACCACAACCAACAACAACAGTAGCACCAGCAGCAGCAACAACAACAACAACAACAACAACAACAACAACAACTACTGTAGCAGAAAAAATACACGTAGCCACAAAAACAACAACGGCCACGGTACACCACCACCACAACCACCAGCAGTAATAGTGATTGCAATAATAATACATGTAATGCAATAATAATAATATTAATAATAATACATGTAATGCAATAATAATAATATTAATAATAAGAATAAGAATAAGAATAAGAATAATAATAATAATAATAATAATAATAAATCTCTTCCACCTGCCCTCAGAGCGGATGGAGCGAATCCACACGATGTTGGAGGACATGCGCGAGAGCCGTGACGTCACACGTCTGCAGCGGTTACGTCTGCTCGTCTACGTCTTGGACAGGACACGGAGCGAGGAGCTGGCCGACCTCATTTTGGCCATGGCCGCGGGGGAAGGGGCGGGGCTTACGGATACAATGGGCGGGACCTCGGGGCGAGGGGGCGGGCTTAGGCAATATGCAGGCACTGCGATGGCTTCGGTGGGAAGAGTGGGTGGGGGTCTGGTGGACGGTGCCGCCGGGGGTCATGATACTGGCAGTGACTTGCCGTCCGGAAAATCCCCTTCTCAAAATAGTTATTGGGAATCCCCGCAGCAGAGTTTTGGTGATTTCCCATTAAATGATAGAAAGGGTGACTATGCAGATGTTCACATTATGCGTCCCTCTCGAGACAGGGGTCAAAAGGTTAATGGTTATTTGGTAAGAAGGCAGGAAAGGATAACGAATAATGTTGAAAGTGATTATAATGACGGAAAAGATTACGTCACGAGTTCTGAGATGATAAGCAAAGACAGTAGTAATGAAAGCAGATGATAAATGAGTGACGAAACTAACTGGTCTGAAAACGGTTCTTAGTATGAGATGTATTCAAATTCCGTTCAATAACCCAGGAAGAAATGATCTTACTTACTTACAATCGTACAAGACAGACATTCTACTCATCCGGGCCCAAGTCTAGAACTGCGACATGAAATCATACCGCAGTTTGAGAGAATTATGGTAAATTTTCCATGGTGTACTTGTATCTCAGTCAAGCCTTGAGCTGAAAAATTTGCTATAACCCCCCCTCCCCAACCCCTGTCGGCCAATAGCACGTGCTGCCTCTGAAGGAAAAGCGCAGTTCTGATTTGTCGCGAGTTTTTGATAATGTTATACGGCTTGCACTTACTCCATTTCCAGGCTTTGATAGAAACCACTTCAAACACACTGAATAACAGTAACAGTAAAAAATATTTAAAAACCACCACCACCAGCAACAACAAACAAACAAAAAAACTTGAGTGTTAGTGAAAAATAGCTCTCGAATTTCTCGGAACATAGGCATTATTAACCCGGATGATTTTGGACTCGAGCTTGAGCTAAAAGGTACCGGTACATTTCTTCAGCCTTAATCAACAGCTGTGGGGAAAAAACTTCTTCCAAAAGTCTGGAATTAGAGTTGGTGCAAGATATTTAGACCACGTTTCGCCAAGATAAGGCACGGCAGATGCAGCATAATAAGTATGTTATAGTTGTGTAAATAAAATATAAATAGTCTTTGTTTGATCCCCCTCGCCCCAACCACCACCACCCCTTCCTCCCTAAAAAAACCCTCCCAAAACCCAATGTATGCTCAATATTCAATTGTAAATCATTTATTTCGAGAAGGGCCTCTAATTTGATAAATTTAAATAGATCTAGGACCGAACAAGAAAAAAAAAGAAAATCAACAATGAATAAAAACCAGTCTAGAATATAATAATATTATTGTACTGAGGAAATACAGCACAGAGAGACAGAAATAAAAGACGGAAAGTAGAGAACAGTTTGTAGGAGCTACTACTAGTAATAGTGGCGCACCCCAACCACCTGCCCACTGAAGCAGGGGGATCTAGAATGGTGTAAACTAACTCCCCCCCCCCCCCCCCCCCCCAACCACCTTCACTCGCACAAAAAAAAAAAAAAAATTAAAATTAAATTAATTTAAAGAATGGGATAAATTTAAAAATGTCTTGTCGGGGCTTCAAAATAAAAGACTCTTTTAAGACCCCCCTCATCGCAATTAGCACAGAGCTGAAAGAGCTTAACTGAGAGAGGAAAACACAGAAGGGTATGTTCCCCTTTTGACGCTGCGGAAACGCTCCGTAATCTGAGCGCTAGTGGGAACAACTATGACAAAAACTAAGATATTGTCTAAAAGTAACCTGTCCAAGAAAATCACATGTACACACGTTCACTTCCAACATCTCTTTTTTGCGTTTCTTTTAACGATTATAATGGTGTTGTGCAAGACGCCCACCTGTCTAAAAGAGCCACTTTTCTCCTCGACAATGGCTGAATGTTTGGAACAATTACGACTGTTATAGATTTCTAAGTCAAACTTGCTCTAACGACCACCTGTCATAGACCTGTTAAAACAACCACTCCCCGTCTTACCACTTGCATTGTTTATAACCTTTACTACAATGATACTGTCCAAGACACCCACTTCTATCTACAGACTTCAACAAAAGTTAAGGACCACCTTGACAGATAGCCTTGATTTTTTTAAAATCTGAAAAAAGACGGCAAGGAACGTTTCAAAATTTTTGCTCTGAAAGTGTTAATAGGTTACCAAAGCGTACTGCAAAGCTTCCTAAAGAGGCAAAACCACCACGTCATGTGCTGCACGGAAATCCTCGGGGAATTCTAGCAAAGTTTGCTGGGGTTTTCTCGACTTGTGTGCGATACCAGGGACATTCCTCGGTGAAAATTTCTAGTGCACGTCATAAACGGACGTACGGTCTCGAACTGTGTTCACTTTGGTGGCATTATAAGCCGCCGTTCGCTCAAAATCCAGTATCGCATCAACATGCCACCAAGACGACAGCTGGGAGACTTCGATGGTGCCAGAGCTATGGCATGGCTGCAAGATGAAGTCGGAGCCCGAAAAGTTGCCAGAAGGCATGAAGTGTCACACTCTGTCATTGTCCGCCTGAGGCAGCGCCATCAAGCCACTGGATTAGTCCAAGAACGCCCACGTGCAGGTCGACCCAAGAAGACCACTCAGAGTGTTTGCAAGTGGTCCTTAACTTTTGTTGAAGTCTGTAAGTCAGGCACTCTTCTCCTCGACAGTGGATGGCCGCTTGGGACAATTTCAACTGCAAAACAAACGAACCTCCTGTACAAACGGCCACTTCACATTTTGTACATTGCATTTCTTTTAACTATTACAACAATAACAATGTAAGACACCCCCCCCTGTATAAGACAACCACCTTTTCCTCGACAATGAAAGGTCGTTTGGGAAAAAATTTGACTGTAATTATTATTTTATAGTAGCCTAGCATTTATAAATCAGTTGTGCTTCACGTCTTCATCGAAACAGTGTAGAGTGTAAAAGGGAAGCCTGGATGTTGTAACCCTACCACTCCCAGTCACGGCAACACAGTTTGGGCTACTGCATGCAGTTCTCAGATATCAGACAGAAAAACACACACACAATTACACCTCCCCTCCCCCAGCACACACACATACAGAAAACTTGACATGTACTCATTTCGTTAAAAATTCTTGCCACCATAAACTGAAGAAAACTTTGGCCGCCAAATTTTGGAAAAAATCAAATTCCAAATTAAATGTATGGGGCAGATCTGTGAGAATGCTATGCTGCAATGCATTATAGCGATACAAATGAAAAAAGGCAGAGAAAGGTTAGTTGTAAATAGTCATGTATACAGTGGTGTTGTTCATTCGCATTCAGTCTGAATTGTGCTTTACTTTTTTAAAAAAACTTTTTCCTTCCTCTGGTATCCTTAGGATGTCGAGAGGGTTTGAATTGATTGATTACACATATTAATTAATCACATAAATAAAGAACTTGCATAATTAGTGTATTATTTTCTTTTCCACTTCTCATCTGTGCAGGGCCAACATGTAGCTATAGGACAAAATTGCCATACAAAAAATAACAACAGCAACAGCATCAACAACAGCAGCAACAGCAACAACAACAAGGAAAACAAGAATTGAGATGGCTTTTATAACGTCAAGTTTTCAATGAGGTCCCCCGCCCCGCCTCTCTCTCTCTTCTTTTCATGTCGGGAAAAATTGGAAAAAGAAATTGAGGCGAGGCAAACCATAACATCCCGACCAGGAATTTGTACTGTTAAATACAGGTCTGGCCACTTTACAGTCCCATTTTCTCATACTCATACACCTTTTCAATAAAAACTTTTTATTTCATCAAACTCATTTTATATAAGCTAAACCTATATAATTAAAATAATCATATTATTATCATTATAATCATGTGCTGATCTCAAGCTTCGTACAAGTAAAGTTCTGCTTCCACACAGCAAAAGCGTCGTTTTCTGAGTTGATCATTTTAAAAGAATATCTCACTGCTCATCTTTTTTTTCAGAAGTACCATGACCCTCCTTATAGCAAATTGTCCTCCGAAAAGATCAAAACAAAATTTTAAAACAGTGGAGTTCACTTAAACTTAAACTAAACTAAACCAAACAGTTTCAAACGTTGTTTGAGCAATCTCTCTAAACAAAACACACGACTAAACGGGAGAAAAACTTTCGGTACCGTAGATTTAGTTTTAGAAGGATTCCACTGTATATATATCTAAAAGTCTTTGCTCAGTTATAGGACCCTAGTAGACTACAGTGAGGAAAAAGTCTGGATCACAGCTGCATTCTCGAACTGTTTTCTTGTGGAGTCTGCAAGATTTTCTTATCTACCCACTTGGCTCTGCCCTGTCGAAGAAACGGGTCAGAACAGGAGGTCCAGGCTCTTACACACAACTCTAGTATTATACGTGTAAGCTGATGGGTTCAACGCCCCATTAACACATTATTACGTTATTCAAGACTTAGAGTAAGTAGGCTAAGTTGAAGGTTTAAATGCCCCTTTCAGCACTACATAAATAAAAAAATATTTAAGAATAAGTAAGGGCATGGATATAACGTCCCTATCAACACTTCATGTAGGTTATTTAAGATTAAAGGTAAGTAAGTGCATAGGTTTAACGCCCCTCTCAACACAATAAGAATATTCTAGAAGCAGAACCTCAAATTTAACCTCCGTCTCCAATAGGACAGGGCCAAATGGGTTACGAGCCTCGAAAACCCCATAAATAAAACAACCCAAGATCAAGAACACCTAATCTGGGATTCGAATTATAGCCATCCACTCAGCAGTCCAGCATGACACAATGTAGATCTACAGATTTAGCTAACATAGCGCCCCTCAAGTGTCCAAAAGGGTGTCAAGCCGACCCTGCTGATACAAACATTTATTTATCTTGGTATTTACTATTTCCCAAAATTATATCACCGTTCATAGAACGGGTCTGTATCTCGTAACAAATGATCCTTCAAATCTCTCCACTGCCAGATAGACATTTCGACATCATTCTACACCCATAGAAGGATGATTAGCAAACTCATACTTGTTTGTCATTTTCATTGTATGAATTTTGCATCCTCTTCGAGTACTTCGACATAATTTAGATCATTTTGGAGGTGGGTTTCCAACCCTATCTGTCAGGGGAAACCAGGGCTGAGAGGAATACATACATATATAGATATACATACATGTATATATTATATATCACTCTGACAGAAAGACCAAGATACTAGAAAAAAAATTTCTTCACACTCAGGAATCAAACTTGGGTCTCCAGTGTGTGATATCAACAGTTCGGACTCTACCCATGGATTTATGATGAGCCAGCTCCTACTTGTGTCAGTAAAAAAAAAAGCATACCAATCGCTAAATTGGAATCAGTTTAGCTTTAGTTTTAGTAAGAGTATTACAGTACTTGAAACGTAATAAGGTTGTACGAGACAAGACGAAAAATTTTCCTTTCTTTTTTAGTTAGCATTTTATTTTAAGGCACTAGTATCACAATAAGGTCAAAGAAGTGCTGAAGATTAGAGGTGTTACAAGAGGGCAACAAATACAAAAAAGGTGGAGGGATAAGGACACCAGATGTTTGATGGGAAAGAAGGAGCAAAACCTAGCTGAACACCCGCCAGCTACCCACAGTTTAGCTCTAAAAATCATCTGCTCATAAACAAGTCACAAATAAACAAAAAATGTTGTAACTTCTTCTCTACGCAAACAAAGGGGCTTGAGTTTTCAAATTTCAGAGTTAATTCTCTTATTGTTGGACCTGAGGAGAGTGGACAAGGGGGCGAAACCCACTGAGACCAAACTTACACACCACTAAATAATTCGTGCGAAAATAAAGGGACAGAACCAATGGTGCTCTAAATTGTTTGCTTAATAACAATGTATCATACGAGTGGTTGCTTCCCTTGCCAAGCCCATGAACAATAAGTCAGCCGCAATGTACAGTGTGTGATAGATGACAATAAGTGAGCGATAATGCTGGGCGATCGTGGAACACAGGGAAAAGGCAAGAGAAAATAAGATTAGTAGAGGAAGACAAATGCACGAAGCCTCAGTAGCGGGGCCTGATCACCCTGCAAGCAATTTTGTTGAATCCGAGTGTGCATGTATTCTTCAAATCTCTCCACTATACTTTGCTGATTTTAATGAATGAAGCAACGGGCCTTCTCCTTTTGTTGAATTAGAGTTTTCGTTAAATCCAAGTTCGCTGAATCTGTGTTCCACCTTAATTAAGAAGGTCAGGACCTCCCCCCCCCCCCCCCCCAAAGAAAAAAACAACCAAGAACACAATAATTGGAAGCGTTATTTTACTTGTTCTGTTCATAGCACCATTCCAGCCTATTACAAGAACATGAGAAAAGGCAACGAAGATGCAGCTCCAACATTTTCAATCGAACATACCAGAATGAAAAAAAACATAAGAAACGAAATCACATAATTTTCAATGGGAGATTATTCTGGCATTCTTCCTTTCTTAGAATCACAGAACACATCTTTTTTCAAAGATTATTTACAACTTCATTGTTTGACAGGATATATAGTCGAAAGACATGACAATACTGGATAGAAATAGCACAAATTTCAGGGTTTTCGTGTGCAAAAACATTCTCTGATTGTACACAGGTATGTTCTCTAAGAGTGCTGTTACAACAGATGATTCACATATTCCTGACTTCAAAAGAGGATAAATAAAGTCATCCTAAAAAATTCAGACAAAAATACCTGACTTAATATGCACAACAATGGACATATTTGAAAAAAGACGCGCCCCCCCCCCCCCCCCCCCCCTCCTCAAAATATAGCAAACCACAATAATTTGTTTTATTCCTTTTGCCCATCCATAGTGGTCTTTTCTTTCATCAGATTATATGCTGCAAAAATCATCCCCGAAGGCAGAAATATCTGAAAGAATACATGATAATCCAAAAGGACAGCAACTCACTTTCAAAACATTTTTATGAAGACAAATAAAAAATCTTTTGGACACAACGACAAAAAGTGCCAAATAAGCCACACTACCCAACTGGACAAAAAGAATCTTGAATAATTTGCGACAAATCCAACATAAACAGATTATATTTTATATAAAAAATACTTCACAGCCTCTCTTTCAACTTTACTCTTGAACATCACCAAGTTATAAAGACATTTTATCCCTCCTACCCACTTCCCTGTTCTTTCTTTCCTTCCAAACAGATAAACAAAAGCATCAAGGAGCATCACTTAGGAAGCAAGGAAGCTCTCCGCTTTCTGTCTATGAGAAACGCAACAGTGGAAGAAAGAAACTGAAGCTGAAGTTGCAGGGGCACTGGAAAAAAAGCCAATTTAGAAACAAAAATCCCCTCATAAGCTTGCCAACTACTTTTGTTGGTTTGGAAGTAACTCGTTAGAGTGGACTTAAAATCTAAGGAAGTCCACAGCAATTGGGTTTTAGACACAAAGTTTCAAAATATGTCAGCAAGTTAAATAGAACGATTCACATGACTGTTCAGCCATTCTTACCAAAGCAGATGCAGAAAGAGAAGAATCTGACTTGCCAAGACAAAACTTACACCGACTCACATCCAAGATTTGAAAACAGTAAGAAGGAACACCCTGACACCATGGGAAAGAAAGACTCATTTGACTCAATGTCCAAAAGTCATTGCAGCCGGTCATGGCACATCAACTTCCAGATCACAGATGAAAGAAACAATCCTCAAAAATGATGACCGTGATTGTCATTTTCCTGTTGTTAATCATTCGTTAAGAAACAAAAGTTCAATATTCTTCATGCCACAAACATTTCAGCAGTCTGTCTTTTTCATTTCAAACAATGAAAAATGATTTGATCAGAACAGAACGTTGACCACATAAAAAAAATAAATTCGGCCGGGCCGAAAAAAAATCGAAATAGCATAGAATCACTACTAAGATCCATTTTCTCTGGACTTCTTTCTTAAATCTCAACCAGCAGTAAGACGGAATGTTCTAAAAATTTCTCAGTCAAAAAAAAAAAATCGTACTAAATTTTTAAAATCTAAACCCCCCCCCAAAGCTGCTGACAAAAAACTTTCCCGAAGACTTGCAAGAAACCTTCAAACTTCACAAAATATCTCAATTCATGTCACAACAGACTATAAGATTACATGGCAGGAAAGAAAAATTTGATTTCAACTCCGTTTACAAAAGAGCTTACAATATAAAATGACACAATATTATGTTAAATATACGATACATTAAGTAAAAGAAAGACATTGTCTTCACCATTACCTTCTGTCAGGAAATTGAGTCGAAAATGTTCCTATACATAGCACAAGCACCACTAGCGAAATATCAAAGAAGTCTCACCACTAGTACTTGAACAGTTATAGAAGTAACCAAAAAAATACTCTAGCTGCATAGCTTCAATCCCCACTTCCCCCTAAAAAAACAACAACTCTACCCACACAGAAGGTCAAGATGGAGGGTATTGGTCAGGAAATCCTCCTCTAAGCCCTACACTAACACATTTCTATATTCAATAAACTCAAGCTGTTCAAAGCAGACATGTAATTATAATGTGAAAAAGGTCATACCAACTACTTGGCAGCTAAGCTACGGCATAACTTTCGAAAAAAATGACAAGTGTAATTCCATTATTAATCAGATTATAAATATGTTAGTTGTGTTCTGGCTCTATAGTATTGCATTTGGGCAGGGGAAAAAATAGCATAGAATCACTACTAAGAACCATGTTTCTTTGTACCCCTTTCAGTGTGATCCAGCAGGAAGATGTAGATTTCTAAAAAATTCTAAGTCAAAACAATCATATTAGATAAAAATGATCTCGAATATAGTATGACAGTTGTGTACCAGTTCTATAGTCATACTAGTAAAAAAAAGCTAATTGGATCACAATTATTTGTATCAGGGGTCAGTGCGAAGACTATCTTACCAATATCTGTCAGTAACAGAATCCAGCAATTTTTTATTTTTTTTAAAGAAACAACATCAATATTTCAATTTTAGCTTGGTCTTTCATTCTACCCACCCAATCAAAACAGTAAACCCCCTCAAAAATAAAAACAACAAAAAAAGACAAAAATCTGTTAACATTTGCGAACCAACTCAATGACATGTAAACTGCCGGAAGCAGTTGAAACAACAACAACAAAATTTTAATGACAAAAATCTGATAACATTTGTAAAAAAAAACTCAACAACATATATATCTGCCACAGATGCAGTTGAAACAACAACAAACAAAACACCCCCCCAAAAAAACCAAAACAAGACGACTATGACCATCGTCCCCCACAGTCAATCATACCCGGTCCATCTCACAAGCGAGCCTGGAGGATACTTTTGCCGTTCAGATAGTCCACAAAAGGCTTCTGGTACTTGAAAAATCCCTCATGGACCTAATAAAGAAAAAGAGAAAAAAAAAATTCATTTTATGAACTAATTTTGTACAACTCTTTCTTAGAGAATTAATGGATAATACACTTCTCATCCACAATTTAAAAAACTAGTCAATGCATTCATTTTGTGACTTTCGAATCAGGGAGAGTGTGATTGTGTGGGTGAGAGATTAAAAAAAAAAATTGTGTAAGTGTAGGTGTTTTTATACTCCCATCCATAAGAGGTGAGCTTGGTGACTGAATAAATGAGTGCGACAGTGGTGGTGTAACCTGTTAATAACATTAAGTATTAAGATCAGGACGACAGACGTTCGACAGGAAAGAAGAATACCAGTACATCTGCCAACCACCCACAGGAAATATTTGAACCCTGTGTAGTCACCAGCACACACAGCAATGAACACACCTCAGACTCATTGAGCCGCGAGTTGCGAGCGTACTCCATGAGAGCCTCGTAGACGTTCCCGTCATAGCGTCCAAGGTCGCTGTCCAACACCTGGTCGGGGAAGTCGAAGGCATCGACCAGAGCCACGGCGTTGGGCTTGAGCAAGGCCAGAAGGTCAAACAGCTTGTTCTGACAGGTCTCCACCTGCTGGTCACTCAGGAAGCCACCCTGGAGGAGGAAAAGGAAAAAGGGAATAGATTCATTGTAAATTTGTAAGAAGACAGAAAGAGATGGAAAGACACAGTGAGAAATATAGATGATTATAAATAAATAACTAGTAGACAGATAGGAAGACAGACTGATGAATAGACAGAAAGTCAGAGACATAAAGAAGATATATAAAGAGAGGTCAGAAAGAGAAGGAGAGACACAGGATGAGACACTTGACATATAAACACACACACACACAAAGAGACAGACAGAGAGAACTCACCTTAGTAAATTGCCCGGAGTACTTAAGTATCCCCTGCACAGCAAACAGCTGACACAGCTGGACCAGGACAGCCTTCAAGGACGGCTGCAGTTTGGCCTCTTGTACAGTCTCCACAAAAGCTCGAACCGCAAACGTCTGGCAGAAGGCCTGAAGATGATGAGAACAGATTGCCTGCTTAGTGCTATTTTGAAAAGTGATGCATGAAGGTGTTTTACACTAAGCAATCCAGATGGTAAAGTCCTCTATCTGACATTGTGGGTTGTCAGAGGCCCCCATGGGTAAGATTACTTCTTCACTGTCCTTATGGTTTTGTCTGTCAGTCTTGATTTTTTTCTCTTGCACTTATTGACCATTCATTAAATATGGTTTAAAACAATCAAGCGTTACTATTTTCGGACATCTGCTAAACATAAGTCAAATATCAACAGCCAGCTGTTACGTTGTACTAAGTCCCAAATTTTTAATAATTTAAAATTGCAGGTTCTTAATCTGTGTTATCTGTTACATGTGCTCAAGAAATGTATAGCCGAAATTCAAATTTTAAATGTTAAAAAATGCACACAAAAATATACACACTGTAGGTACAATTGTTAAAAGAAGGAAGCAGAAATGATGTTCTTTCTCTTGTAAAATTTTGCTTTCAGGGCTTATTACAATGCTATATAAATATAAAATAAACCAGAACTGTTTGTAAAACATGAGATTTCTACGATCATTATCACGTCAAGTGGCAACCTATTCTTCCTGTCACCATCAGTCTGTTCTACTATGTTCTGTTTCTTCCTCAACCCAAAGGCCCACTTACAACCGGCAAACTCTAAAGGCTGTTGGCAGGTGCTCTGATATTTGCTCCCTCTTTCTTATCAAACATCAGTCATGCTGATCTCCCCTCCTTCTTTTTTGTGTTTCTTACTGTCTCTCTCTTGTAACACCTCTAACCTTCGCCACTATTTGTGTTGGAAGTGCCGTAAAACGCTTACTAAAACAATACACTCTCTCCTTCATATCTCCCTTCTACTTGTCTGCCTGTCTCCCTTTCCCGTAATCCCACATCCCTCTCTTTCTTCATCAACCTCAACGAGTTTCTGCCACAACGACTATTGAGAAAAACAGTTCCATTTATTTATTTCTCTCTCTCTCCCTTTTCTCTCCTCTCTCTACATCTGTCTCTCTTCCTCCCTACTTCCCTCTTTCTCTCACTCTCACCCCCCCCCTCCCCCCCATCCTTCTCTCTCTCTCCATTTTTCTTTCAGCAATCACTTTTCTTTTTTTTCTATGAAAAGCTATTCCTCTTCTCTATCCTTTCTGTCTGTCTGTTAATTTCTTTCTTTCTCATTAGTTCCCCCGCCCTTGCCCTCTCTCTGTCACCCTCTTTCCCTCCACCTCCCCCCTCTCTCTCATTTCCTCCCTCACTCCTTCCCCCTCTGTCTCTGTCCCTCCACACCCCCCCTCCCCCCATCCCACTCACCATAGCCGCCTCCACCAACAACTGTGAGCTATTGTTCCAGGCCTCTGCAGGCTTCATGCCTTTCTTCTGCTGCTCAGCCAGTCTGGCACCGGCCTCCGAGATCATCCTAAGTGGCAGGTCAAAGGTCAAAACATCACAAATTACACATGGGAATAACAAAACTCTCATTTTTAAAAACCCACAATCAAATTCAGCAAGGAAAAAACCCCCATAAATTACTAAGTACACACTGACTTACACACATACACACACACAGACACACACATCTACACCGATTCACCCACACAAACAAACACACAAACAAATGCACACACACACATACCCACACTGACTCACATACATACACATACACACATCAACACAAACACACACACACATATCCATACTGGCTCACACACACACACACACAAACAACACACTCACCCTCACTGACACACACTGACAAACACACACGCACACACACACCAGGACAGTCATACATATTTACAAATATTCATCATGTCACCGACATCCACGCACACACACACACACACACACATCAGGAAACAGTCATATGTAACATACTTACAAATATTCATCCATTCACCGACATCAACAAACACACATAAAACACACTCACAAACACAAACCCACACAAAACACACTCACAGACAGGCACAAACACACACACACACACACACATACACACTCACACATCAGGACAAAGGATACAGACCCACATACTTACAAACAAATGTTCATCCAGTCACCAATATCGATCGACACACACACACACACCCACACATACACCCATACTGACTCATACACACACACACACACACACACACACACATACACCCATACTGATTCATACACACACACACACACACACACACACACCTGGCAGCCCTGTGCTCATAAGCAGCAATCAACTGTTCCAGCTCCAGCTTGCCTGACAGCTGACTCCTGCCCCCTTGCGCCGTCCTCAGGTAGCTCACCATAGGAGGGAGGGCTTCCCCGCTCGTCAGAGCCGCATAACACTTCATCAGGTAACTGTTGGATTGGAGTACAGTTTAGTCTTAGCAAGAGTTTTTACAGCACTTGCAACACAATAAGGTCATATAAGTGCTGAAGATTAGAGGTGTTACAAGAGAGTTTCAAGCACAAAAAAAGATCCGGACATTTGATGTTTGATCTAGGAAAGAAGGAGAAAACCACAACAGAGTAACCTTCGACCACTCATAAGCTGGAGTTTGAGTAAAGAGGAGTACATCGTCACCGTACTGGTCATTTAGCGCTGGGGGAAAGTATGACAGACAGAAACAACAGGGGGAAAATAAAGAAATAGGACCTACCGGTAGCACCCTCCAACCACTCATCAGGTAACTGCTTCCACAAACAAAATGTGAATCACGTCAATGTTTTCACCAGTGCCTGTGGTGTGATAGCATGCAGAAGATGGGAATTCGATTCCGGAGGAACTTTGTTTATCGAGTATCTCCACTTGTCTGCTGGGATCAGGTCAGGTTGGCAAAGCCAAAGCAGCTAGCCATGTAGATGATCAAAACTGTGTAGATTTTGTTTTTTTTCTTTTTTTGCTTCATTTTGGGGGGGGGGGGAGTTTACTACAATACAACACGTCTTCAGCTTCTTCTTTATGATTTATTTAACACACAGAGACTCCCAAATTGACTTCAGACTCCAATAGCCAACTATAATCTCTTCACTTCCTCGTGCCCAGTTTCTTGCAATTTAAAAAAACAACTGCCTTTTTCACATGCAATCTTTTAATCAGTGCGTAAAACGATTTATTCAAAGTGGCAAATTCCTTTGACCTTTTTGATAGATCCCAAGGTTTCTGAGCCGAAAATTCGATTTTACAGTCAGGAAGGCTTTACAAGAATGGCAGAAATACATTAAATCTAAATTGTACTTTACCTTTATAAAGGAATTTAAACATGAAGAGAGCAAAACTAACAAAAACACATGTCACATCAATAGCATCTCTCAAATCAAATGCAGGAATTTCTCAGACTTTGCTTAGTTATAATATTGAGACATAATTTGCACATATGTTGAGATAAAAACACTCAACAGCAATACATAATCACGTTTATTTCGACAACAGAGTTACCACAGACGATAAAAAACATCTTTTGACTGTCTGGGCTAGCATAGACTGAGAAGGACAGACCATACCACCATAAACAACAACCCCCCCCCCAAAATAACAACAAACAAACAAGCAAACACAGTCTCACCGAGCAGTCTGCAGACACAGGACGGTATTCTCCCCTTCGTAAGTACAAGCCGGCACCTCGTTAGCGTAGATCTTGGGCAGGCCGCTGGCCTCGATGTAGCCATGTCCTCCACATGCCAGGCGGCACTGCTCTATGCCGTACATCATCTCCCATGAGCTGTACGCCTTCAGGCCCGATGACAGGGCATGCAGCTGGTCACAGACACATATACACAGGGGTTAAAGTCATATATACAACATCAACAACTTCAGTTGAAAAATTATAATAATGCTCAGATGCATGAGTTGATATTTTTAAAAACTCCTACGACAATATCAACCCTCATCTGTAGTCTACTGTAATAATGATGCTAATAATAACAATAATAATAATAATCATGAAAATAATAATAATAGTAATAAAAATACGAAAACAATAATAATACAACAAACAACAATAATATAACAACAATAACAATATTATAAATATCAATAACAATGTGACCAAAGAAGTTAAGCATCTATCTAAAAACAAACAAGAACCCTAAAAAGCTCACCACTGGCAGTTCCTCCAATGAGCCCTTCTCAATCTGTTTGGAAACACGGTTGTAGGCAGCGATGGAGCGCCGGCCTGTGATGTTGAGGGCGTAGGCCATGGCAATCTGTGGGAACACCTTGTGCTGCTGGGTCTGGAAGTCGATCACTTGGACCTCGCCTTGTCTGAGGATGGAACATGATTGATCGATTGATTGAGTAGCTGTTTTTCGGCACTATCGACTCAATATTGATCAGGTAAGTGCCAACAGGTTTTACTGCAACAAATCTATCCTCATGTTATGTTTAAGTAAGAGTTTCACGGCGCTTGCAACTGCATACGGTCATATCATCATCAAGAAGATGGACCAGGCTCCCAATGATTGTACACTAATAATAATAATAATACTAATAATATAATAATAATTTTAAAAAGTGTTTATGTAATGCAAATTCCTGCTCAATAGCCAGCTCTATGCAATTCACAATCTCTATTTACATCAAAAGTGTTAGGCTCTGACTGTACAAGTGTTTTCTTGAAAAAAAATTCAGCAAGCCGAAACCCCCCTCCCCCCCCCCCCCCCATTCTAATTTGATTTTATATCAAAGGTGTAATTCATGGCTAAATAAGTTTCAATATACCTAAAGGTGTCATTAATGGCTACAAAGGTTTTAATGTACCTAAAGATGTCATTAATGGCTACATAAGTTTTTATGTACCTAAAGGTGTCATTAATGGCTACATAAGTTTTAATGGAACTGTATCAGCATCCTGAGGAAAGGTTCTTATTGAAGACCCGCAGAACAACATCTGCAACAAATTTAGAACAAGAAACAAGTTGATCTGCATCTTTCGGTTACACTATAAGAGCATAACCCCATTGACATACTTTATGCCTTTGTCAACATAGTAGATAAATAAACAAATAAATAAATTACATTTCATTGATCATTGTGGGGAAACTTAAGCTACAATAGCAAAAATGCATAGAGCCTACATGTATACATATTAAAACACAAAAATATACATATACAAACAATATCAAATGCATAATATTAAACTAATGCAGGCAATAAAATAGTACAAATGTGCCACTGTTCGTTGCAACTATGAAGCACCTTGTATTTTGAGCCTGGGTCATCATGTCTTACTCAAGAGCACACCCCAGTGACCACCTACCTAAACCTTGGGAACTTTTAAGCCTGCTCACAGCAAAAAGTCCTTTTGAAGTCGAGAGTAACTCCTCAGGTTGATTAGCCAGTCCAATTGTTGTTCCACCATTTTGAAGCATATATTTTTTGTGAACATAAAAACTGCAAAACTTGTATCTTTTTCTTTTCTTCTCTTTTTTACATCACTTTAGTCACCGAAGAAAAGTTACAACTTAATTACCGAGAAAGAAAAAAACAAGGCAAAAACAAAATTGAGAAGAAAAAAAAAAAAATGAAAAGAAATATAAAAAATTCCTTGGAATAAAATAAATCAAAACTTACCCAGAGTTGATCTGTGACTGACGGCGCACAGCACTGTATCTGGTTGCTATGGTGACAGCCTTGGCGAGAGCCCGAGCTGTACCTCCGACGATCTGCGCTCGGATCAAAGTCATGGACCCGTACACGAGCCTGTCATTCTTGGGCTGGATGAATGTTCCATCCTCCAACACCTAAGGGGGAGGGGGATTTGTTTATCAGTTTGTTAGTTTGTTTGTCTGAGAAAACAGAAATATACCAACAAGATATTCGTGATTCAGAGCTGGTTTGTTTGTTTTAGGAAAGAAAAGCACATCGACACAATAATGGTCATTTAGTGCTGGGAAAAAGACGGACAGACAGAAACAACAGAGGGAAAGTAAAGAAGTAGGACCTACCAGTGCCGCCCTGCAACCACCCACATCCAGAGCTAGTAAAAAGCAAGAAAGAAAAAAACTCAAAAACAAAACAACAACAGAGGGATGGAAAACAAGTAAAGCTGATTACTTGATAACAGAATTGGAGTTTTTGGAGACAGGTTCTATCCACAACTCCTCACCCCTCCTCAGCAAGGTCTGTAAAAATGAAACTCCTCAGCAGAGGGGAGCAAGAAAACAACCAGTGGCACCCTTCAACCTCCCTGATGAATCAAGCGACCTCTCATTTCTTTTCCTCCTTTTTTGTTACGGATTGGTATAGTACAGATTAAACACCCCTGTAAACGCTGAAAGGTTATTCATAAAAAATGTGAAACCTCCAAATTTACTGTTGGTCTCTAAGAGTCTAAGAGGACCAAACAAGTGGGTGGTGAGCCCTCACAAGTCCCCAAACATCCTGGTCGTAGTCTCAGTTATGATAAGAGTTTTTTTCAATTTAAGTATTACTACGCCTCGGTTGACACAATCTACATCATTTAGGAGAGAGCCTCTGATCCTGACTGTCATGGTCAATGTGGGGTGAGAGGGATACAACATCCCAGTGGAAAGACAGAGATACTCGATAAACAAATTGTTCGTGCTTGGGAATAAAACTTGGGTCTCCTGCTTGCTGTCCCACAGCGATGCGCCTGACTGCAATACCACAGAGACCGGTAGTAAGAGTGTTACAGCCCAGGACTTGCTGCAAACACAAATAGGTCATGTAACTTCCAAAGATCAGATGTGTTACTATGCAACTTTCTTCAGTTTAAAAAAATAAAAATTCAAAATTATCAAGCTTTTAAAAAAAAATTGTTGATATCCTCTTGAACAAAAGCAAAACATATCAACAAGTCAAAGATCATTTGGCATGAGGTAAAAGCAAGGCAGGTGGACAGACAGATCTGTGACACCTGCTCAAATACCAACATGCCTGAATAAAAGTTAACAAAATCAACACTTTGGCCAGGAGTACTTATCTTGATATCTATATATATCACATTAGTGAAAGTTTGTCCCTTTGGACACTTTGGTTGCCTAAAACTTCCGAACCACTTAACTTTCGAATTTGAAAAATAATTTACAGTGATTCAAAATCATTTAAAGGGTGTACAGTTATACTAAGGAGCCTGAAGTCACTGTAGTTTAATTTTCACTTTTTCATCAGTTCCGTTTAGATTTAATCTTGGGAAAGTCCATCTTCGAAGACGTCATTGTAAGCAAGTGAGGCTTCCGTTCACAAACAGTGCGCACGGATGATATCTAAATTTCTCTTTCAGGTGACACCTATCTCTCTTTCAATTGATCATTTGCAGATTTTTCTCGGAGTGAAACCGACTTGACGATTGACTCTTTCGAGTCCGTTACTTGCTAAAAATGAAAGGGAAAAAAAACCCCGCATATCGTTAGCCAGCTGATAATATGTACTGAGCCTAAAATGTTGAAGTTGTTAAAAAACTGCAGCCCTCACCTGTGCGTATCTCATAAGCATGTTCTCCCTTGGAATGCGTACATTCTTGAAGCTCAGATAGCCGTTGTCCATGGCTGCGTAGCCAAACTTGGGGCCAATGTCACCCACAGACACACCTGGTGATCATTGAATGGAAATGTCAAAAATGTTGAAAACTCCATATTCTTTTCAATGTATTTTATTATGGTGGAGTTTGTCGAAAACAAAACGTGAACATTTATAATAGTTCAAAAACGAAATAAGGAACAAGAGAGAGAGAAAGAGAGAGAGAGAGAGAGAGAGAGAGAGAGAGAGAGAGAGAGAGAGAGAGAGAGAGAGTAAGAGAGAGAGAGGGAGTAAGAGAGAGAGAGTGAGTAAGAGAGACTGAGGAAAGATTGAGGAGAGAGAATGAGAATATGAGAAAGAAAGAGAGAGGAAAGTAAGAGGAAGACAGGCAGACAGACAGCTTATAGACAAAAGGAAGGAAAAACAGCCAAAACCAAAAAAAACAACAAAAAAGTAACCGGAAGAAAGAAACAAGGAGTACATCCACTGACCGGGCAGAGGCTGGTGAGTCTCCAGGTCCCTGATCTGTACCATGAAGCTCTGCATGCCCACGTCCTTGCCTTGGGTGAAGAGCTTGGCCATCACCACGCAGTGGTTCGCTGTCTTGCCCACTGGTACAGGAAAGTAGGTTTGTGTTAAACGGTTTTGGTTAATTAGTGATAAGAAAGCGGAAAAAGACAAATTAATAATAGTGTAAGCATTAATTTAAAATGTCAAAATTTCTGGCTGGACTTGAATTGTAAAAAAAAAAAAAGAAGAAGAAAAAGAATAACAATTGAGCAGTAAACAAAGACAATAAACATAGCAAAATCTTTGCACTACAATCCCCAAATGGATTTTTTTTAAAAGTAAGCCCTCAAGTAATTACTGCATCCGAGTACTCGGAGATTTTGGATTCGAGTGAGTACTCCAGTACTTAAAAACTATTCAAACAAGTAATCACAAAGGCTTACTTAAATATTCAAGAGCTCACACACACCTACCTCACGGCATTGCACTTCACAAACTAAACAGGCTGACATATAGAATTCCGCTGTGATCTCCAGCACATCAACTTAACGCAAAGTTTAAAAAAAACACAAAAAACATAAAAAGACAACAAACAAACAACAACCCCCCCCCCCCCCCCCACCCTGCACCAACAACAAAGAAAGACACTAACAGCTTCGCCAGAACCAGACCCAACACTTACATCCTCCGGGCCAGAACTTGGCAGACGTGACTGTGGGGGAGTTGATGATGAACTCTTGGGTCTTGGGGTCATAGGTCGCCGTGGTCTCTAAGCCTCGCAGGAACGTTCCTGGAGACATGGGCCAAACAGTTTAGGCAACGGAAAGGGGGAAAAAACCCCCAAAATAAACAATCAATATTTAAAAAAAACATTTGTTTTTCCTTCAGAAAGCTTCATGGAGAGATTAATTTCATAGTACTCTTACTTACATTAACTATGTGAAATGTGTATTCTTTATGTGATGTGGGCCAATGGCCTTAAACACTGACTAAAATACTGTTGAAATTGTCTAAGATGGTCACTCATTGTCGAGGAGAAACGTGTTTGTTTTAGACAAGTGGTCGTCTGATAGTGTCATAATATCATTAAAAAACCGTAAGGGGGGACATGGGAAGTGGCCGTTTGTACAGGAGACTGTCTTATGCAGGTGGATGTTACGAGTAGGTTCGCCTGCACCTACCTTCTAATCTACAAGCATTAACATGGCGAAATGAGCCAAGTGTCAGAACGTGTAGTTCCATTATCTAAACTTTTACTCAATCATTTCAACAGTTAAAATCTACACAATTACATAATCTGTTGACATTTCACTACCCTAAACCAGCAAAGTTCTATATGCTCATTTCCTAGTTTTCAGAAATTTGACAGTAAACATTCTGAGTTTAAAACAGGCCAAGCTATTGTACATGCAATTCTTTGAAAATCTTGATAACAAGCCCGCATAATCTTACAAGTTTGATAGAGCAGATAGTACATAATTACATAATTTGGTCTCTGACCCCAAGATGATACTAAATTAAATTGGCTCAAGGTGTCAAATAGAACTTTGTAATTTTAAGGTAGCCATTTATCACTTTGCCCCAACTCTAGAAATTTATGTCTTCAAGTGTATGGTTTTAACACCCTTATCAATACATGTACTATTAGGATTAAATTTAAAAAATTGTTGTAACAGAATACTGGTAACATTAAAATAAGAAAACAATTCTTCTTTATACAGGGCATAACAATATGATTTATCCACGACAAAGTTGTCAAAATATGAATTTAAGATTTTGCTTCTGTAAAGAAACGTTGATCTATGTATTACAATATCCTCTACAATAGCAATGCATAGAAAACATAAAAAAATAAACCTTAAGAATGTTGCTAAAAACCCATATCTATCATTTTATATTAATAAGTAGCCTCGCAAAACTGATTCCATAAAAGAAAAACTAAGTGATATCAGGCTTATGACAGCATCATCTCTTTTTTCTCATGAAACTCAATCTGAAAAAAAAAATCTAAACAGAACAACTAGATCCTGAACCCTGAACCGCACCCCCCCCCCCCCCCCCCCACTCCCCCCTAAAAAAAATTGGTTTTGGAAGAGGTGCCACATGAAATTCATTGTTACGTTTTAGATTTACAACTAACTCTGCTACAGACAGTATTATTATTTGTATTTCCCTAGTCCACTATGCGCAGTGAAGTTACTCTTCTCTGTCTATACTTTACTTCAAAGCCCAAATCATCTATAAAACTACAAAAGATGGGAACTATTGTTCTGTCAATAAGAAAATGTCCTCCCAGACGAAAACCAAAAAAACCCAAAAAACTTTTAACAAAAAATAACAAAACATAAAAACATCCTCAAAGACGAAACCCCTGAAACTTACTTTCTAACAAAACAAATACCGATGCAAACAAAACTAAAAAAAAGTCCCTACAGACGAAAACCAACACAAAAAATGTCTACACTACACCAACTGAGACTGCTCTACCGGCGGTAAAGCACAAATGACAAAATCTGTCCTCGAGGTTTTATGCACACAAAAAAATATGAATTTAAGCAAACTGAGCCCAAAAATGTGAAATTACGCGATTCTGTTAATTTTAACAAAAAATGACAAAGGAAAATAATCAGAAATTATGCAAAAAATGATCAAATTTTTCTAAATTATGCAGGGTGCATAAAACCAAGGGGACAGCCCAATGACAGAAACTTGAGCAATTTCACCTATCAAAAATGTTCCCATGGACAATGAGAAGATGTCCGTAGAATGAAAACCACCAATACTCCCATTCTCAAGGAGAAAAACCAACAAGAACCACAACGCTGCCATTCGAAAATATCTCTGTCACGACACGATCGAATAAGGAACTTGCCATTTTTTAAATAGCATTATATGGAGTTATTGGTATCAACTAAAAGCTAATTCATTTGTATTGCTCTCGATTTTAAAAGAAAAAAATCAACATTTCTCTAGAGTAAAAGTGTAGTCATTTACAACTGAAGGAGGTGGAGGTCACCTGGTGTCAGGGGTAAAATGAGAAGAGAAGTGGGTGTCCTTGGAAACTGAAAATTTACATCTCTGTGCCCTTCATCAACGTTTTTCTCCCCCAAAAAATTACACAGAAAAGTAAGTGTGTGTGTGTGTGAGTGTGGCTGGGGGGGGGGGGAGGGGGTGAGAGAGAGAGAGAGAGAGAGAGAGAGAGAGAGAGAGAGAGAGAGAGAGAGAGAGAGATGAGAGAGAGATGAGAGAGAGAGAGAGAGAGAGGGATGAGAGAGAGAGAGAGAAAGAGAGAGAGAGAGAGAGAGAGAGAGAGAGAATAATTTGCGCGCATGTATAATGTCTATTATCTATATATTCAGCCAATAGAAACTGATATAAACACGATAGACTACTTCGCAAAGCGAATAAGCGCTGCTAATAAATAAAAGGTGCCGTGCATGCAGTGACTAAGTCGAAACCAAAATGAAGCACGTTATACTGTGACAAATATGTGCGACTGTGTTTATATTCTACCAAACAAAGGGGTGAAAAAGGCGGTGGGGTGAGAGAAAAGACACTCCGTGCAAGAAAGAAAAACAGAATCAAACGTAATAACCATATTAACATCAACATAGATCGCATCTCTTATTTGTATCAGTTATATTATAAAATCAGAATTAAGCCAAAAAAAAAGAACATCCATTCTCACTGTCAGGACACAATATGGCCCATTTATAAATTTACCTATGTTTTTTACGTATTTATCCAAGTAGCAACGCTGAGTAAAGATTTCGTCTTTCAAAAGATGAATGAATTCAAAAATTACTTTTCATTTATAAAATCAATTTACAAAGCCGTATGAACATTCGTTAACAACATTAATCAATTTCTCTCTTTAACTTAAATAACAGTTGTAAATGGCATTACTTGAAAACAATTATGTAATGTGTATGGCATTAATCAATTAAAACCAATTAGTTTCGGCGAGTTATTCACCCCAATTAGTATAGAGGAGAAATGCAGCTAAGATCGTTATATTCTATATTTTAATCAAATCAGTCTAAATCTAAAAGGGCTGTAGAAATGAGAGAAAACAAGAAGTTAATCAAAGCTAGGCTACTTCACAGGGCATAGATCTACATAGATGCAGAGAAAAAGAGCCGTTATACTTTCTGTGTCGTCAGCAAAAGTGAAACAGAGGCTAAAAATAGTTTCCTAATTTGCATAACTCATTCTCTCCACAAAGGAGATAAACGAGCGCATATGAAAAGTCTCCAACACGTCAAAGCAAGCGTCTAATGCGATCGATTCAAAAGCTAAATATTGCCAGGCACGTGAGCAGCACCAAATACAATTTTAGGAGAGGGGGGGGGG